TTTGGTTTTTTGAGACAGGGTTTCTCTGTGTAGCTTTGCGCCTTTCCTGGATCTCGCTCTGTAGACCAGGCTGGCCTCGAACTCACAAAGATCCGCCTGCCTCTGCCTCCCAAGTATTGCCGAATCTTTAGCAAAGAACAAAAGATGGGTGGGGAGGCTTGGCTTAGACAGAGTGACCCTCTTCCTCCCCTAACGGGAAATAGCGAACATCATGACTATTGGGAAGTGTCTTATTTCGCCATATTCCAAGTTTCTTTCTGTTCCAAGAACAGAAAGGAATATTTGCACCTTAAACTTTTAATTTTTACGAAAATTGCCAGATGTTGACAGTATGTTTTGGAAGTATCTAAACTATCAGTTAACCTTTTTGTACTTCTAAATTTGTAAGTGAATTAACATTTAAACTGGATAAATGCCCAATGAAAAAATCACTCCCCCATGTTTAAGGAAGTCAAGTTAAGAGAGAACACACAAAGTAGGGGGAGAATAAAAAGTACATAGGCAATGATTGGAAACCTCAAAATATTAATTATACTGAATAAGAGGGAGTTCATTTAACATCTTAACATCTACAACCTAGAGATGTCAACTTAACATGCACAACCTAGAAATCATCTGCTAGTTTATCTTTTTGAGACGGTCTGATCCATCATGGGCTGGCCTTGAACTTGCCTGTGGATGACTTTGAACTCCTGCTCCTCCTGCCTCCCCCTCCGGAGTGCTGGGATCACAGTGTGCACCACTGTGCCCTGTCATTCAGTGCTGGGGATCAAAGGCGTTGTGTGCACTAACAGAGCACTCTGCTGGTGAGCTCTATCCCAGGCCCGTCACCTGCTGATTCCAAGAGACACATTTCTTAAGGACACTAAAAATCAAAAGGGCAAATGCACCACCAGTTATCAAGAGAAAGCTATAAAGGCTGGAGAAATAGATTAGCCATAAAACACACTTGCTCTTCTTCCAGAGGACCTGGGTTCGGTTCCTAACGCCCACATGGTTATGGACAATCTGCTGCCTTTTTTTGGCTTCTTAGGGCACGGTCCACATGGCGCACATGTATATATATTCAAGTAAAACATTCATATATATATAATAAAGTAAGTGCTTGCCACCAGGCCTGATGACCTGAGTTCAATTTCCAGAATCCACAAGGTAGAAAGAAAGAACAGCCTTTGTCAGATTGTCCTCTGACCCCCACACATGTGTTGTGGCACATGTATGCCCCTCCTCCCCAAAATTAACAAGTGCAGAAAGTATTTTGGAAAATCGTGGTGTTATTTAACTGAGCAGATATGGCCATGGCACATGGATGCACGGAATAGCTACAGGGTATCGGGCCCAGAAGGTACACCGGGAAAAAAGTGTTGGATTCTCCCATGGAAGCGTATTGGCGAAGCGAGACAAACTGCCATGTTTCATTCACATTCATCTAAGCAGTCCCTGTGGGTTTGGACATAGCTCTTTGGACTTACCTCTGCAGAAAGAGAAGATCTAAATGCCCCTCATCTCAGCAAACCCCCTCTGCCCAGGGCTCCAAACCATCCTCCTGTCCGATAGTAGTAGATGCAAGGCAGACTTAGCGGGCATGAAACTTTGCTTTTGGTCAGAGAATGGGCTGTTTCCGGACCTTCATTTGGTGCACGTGCCCAATAAGAGAGGTGGTTTAGTCCTTTGGGATCATGAGCCAAGGGCGCAACGAATCAAGGAAGAGACATGCTTGATGAGGCATGCCAGGGGCATTTAAGAAACCTAAAAACCCATATGGCCAAGTCTAGTTCATGTCTTTAACTATTTGCTTGTTCATTCCTCCATGTATTCGTTGGTTTATTGTTCGACCCGTGCTTACTGAGTCCTGCTTTTTTTTTTTTTTTCTCAGATGACTGTGTTTTTAAGTTCCTTCACTGGCAGACGAATATCTGTGAGTGCTATTGTATATATCAGGAAATTAAGTTTTAGTCCTCATTCATGCATTTGCCTCTAACACATTGCTTGTACACATGCACTCAAGAGCGGGGAGATGCACACGAGAGTGAGAATCACCATACAACTGATCACTCATATATGCGTCCTTCATTTTAAGGTCAAATCTTGGAGGATGCTACGTGCTCTGTGGACTTTCTGGATCTTGGTGGCCATGACAGGCCTCTCCAGGGAGGGCTGTTCTGCTCAGGCACCTCTGTCATGTGATGCTGCTGGTGTGTGTGATGGCCGCTCCAAGTCTTTCACCTCCATTCCCTCAGGACTCACAGCAGCCATGAGGAGCCTTGACCTGTCTCACAACAAGATCACTTCCATTGGCCATGATGACCTGCGGGGGTGTGTGAACCTCCAGGTTCTGATGCTGCAGTCCAGTGGAATCAACACAATAGCGGAAGGTGCCTTTTCTTCCCTGAGCCGTCTTGAACATTTGGACTTGTCTGATAACCACTTATCCAGTTTATCTTCCTCCTGGTTCAGTCCCCTGTCCTCTTTGAGATACTTAAACTTACTGGGAAATCCTTATAGGATACTGGGGGAAACGTCACTCTTTTCCAGCCTCACAAATTTACAAACCCTCAGGGTAGGAAATGTTGCCACCTTCAGCAGGATTAGCAGAATAGATTTTGCTGGACTGAATTCTCTGGACGAACTTGAAATCCAAGTGCCAAGTCTCCAGAATTATGAGCCCCAAAGTCTGAAGTCGATTCAAAACATCCGCCACCTGACCCTTCACCTGAGCCAGCCTGCTTTCCTGCTGAGGATTTTTGCAGATACTCTGAGTTCTGTACGATATTTAGAAGTGAGGGATGCTAGCTTGGCCAGCTTCCACTTTTCAGAGCTGTCCACGGATGAAATAAATTCACCGATGAAAAAGCTAGCATTCCGAAGTGCAGATATCACTGACGCGAGTTTTAATGAACTTCTGAAGCTGTTGCAGTATGTCCCGGAACTGTCGGAGGTTGAATTTGATGACTGCACCCTCAATGGAGTGGGCGATTTTAAGCCATCTGAGTCAGACATCGTGAGAGAGCTAGGCAAAGTAGAAACACTAACGATACGGAGGTTGCACATCCCCAAATTCTATTCATTTTATGATCTGAGTAGCGTATATCCCCTCCTGGAGAAAGTTAAGCGAATCACAGTAGAGAACAGCAAGGTCTTTCTGGTCCCTTGCCTGTTTTCACGGCACTTAAAATCATTAGAATTCTTGGACCTCAGTGAAAATTTGATGGTCGAAGAATATTTGAGAAACTCAGCCTGTGAGAGCGGCTGGCCTTCTCTACAAACTTTAATTTTGAGACAGAATCATTTGAGGTCAATAGAAAAGACTGGAAAGATTTTACTGACTCTGAAAAACCTGACTGCCCTTGACATCAGCAGGAACAGCCTTCATCCTATGCCTGACACCTGTCAGTGGCCAGAAAAGATGCGCTTCCTGAACTTGTCCAGTACAGGGATACAGGCTGTGAAAAGGTGCATCCCTCGGACGCTGGAGGTGTTGGATATTAGTAACAACAACCTCAATTCGTTTTCTTTGTCTTTGCCTCGGCTTCGAGAGCTCCACATTTCCAGAAACAAGCTGAAGACTCTCCCGGACGCCTCCTTGTTCCCCGTGTTACTGGTCATGAAGATCAGAGAGAATGCCATAAGTACTTTCTCAAAAGACCAACTTGGTTCTTTTCCCAAACTGGAGACTCTGGAAGCAGGTGGCAACCACTTCATCTGCTCCTGTGAACTCTTGTCCTTCACAATGGAGCAGTCAGCCCCGCTCCAGGTCCTGGCTGACTGGCCGGACAGTTACCTGTGTGACTCTCCGCCCCGCCTGCGTGGCCAGAGGGTCCGCGACGCCCGGCCCTCAGTCTTGGAGTGCCACCAGGCTCTACTAGTGTCTGGTGTCTGCTGTGCCCTTCTCCTGTTGATCCTGCTCATAGTCGGCCTGTGCCACCATTTCCACGGGCTGTGGTACCTGAGAATGATGTGGGCGTGGCTCCAAGCCAAGAGGAAGCCCAAGAAAGCTCCATGCAGGGACATTTGCTATGATGCCTTTGTTTCCTACAGCCAACAGGATTCCCACTGGGTGGAGAACCTCATGGTCCAGCAGCTGGAGAACTCCGACCCGCGCTTCAAGCTATGCCTCCATAAGCGGGACTTCGTTCCTGGCAAGTGGATCATTGACAACATCATCGACTCCATTGAAAGGAGCCGCAAGACCGTGTTTGTGCTTTCCGAGAACTTCGTGCGTAGCGAGTGGTGCAAGTACGAACTGGACTTCTCCCACTTCAGGCTCTTTGATGAGAACAACGACTCGGGCATCCTTGTTCTGCTGGAGCCCATTGAGAAGAAAGCCATCCCCCAGCGCTTCTGCAAGCTTCGAAAGATAATGAACACCAAGACCTACCTGGAGTGGCCCCGGGATGAAGCCCAGCAGGACGTGTTTTGGGTAAATCTGAGAACTGCAATAAAGTCCTAGATTCTCCACCCAGTTCCTGTCCTGCGCTAACCATGGGTCTTTGTGACATGAACTGTAACGAAGTTTATTCTGACATAATTATTTAAGTACCATAGAATTGTACCCTTGAGGATTTAAGTATGACTAATAACTGTGAGCTTTATCTTGAACGCTGTTATATAAATATTTTATATTAGGAGAATGTTTTTTTTTCTTCTCTATTTTATAGATAGCCAAGATCTCTCTCCAGTACTAATATCTGAATAACCTGTTCCCTTAGCACATCTGGAAATGGCACACGTAGACTGGAGATTTAATATTTGCATTGAGTCAGTGTGCTTTTTGTACAGAAGCACAGGGGGTGGGTGTGGAGGATTTGCCAGTCTGCTCACATGTCATCCCTCTGTGTAACATCTCAAGAGCAAGCGGTCACAATATTGGGGGCATTCAGACAAATTTGTTTCTATTCCTGGAGAGAGGGTTCTGTCCCCTCATCGGACCTCTCAGTATACATGACACGGGCTGCATTTTCATGTAAACTGGGTTTGTCTTTCTGAGTATTTGATCGGTTTCTCTAGACATAATTCTTTGAAATAATGTATGCAACACAAGATACAGTAAATCCTCTTTTGCCATGAGAGCATAACTAGTGAGTATAAATAAAATGTTGATTTGGAAGGAGCTGAAGAAAGTCTCCCATGTTCTGGTGCAGACCTGGATTTCAGCTGTCCATTCCCAGTGTCTGGTTACTCTGGCTCCTGCCCCCCTTGGACAATCTGTTGCTTTTTCTCCGGTGAAAAGTCTTGTTTCTAATTCTATAAAGCTTTTCTTTTATTTTTTTGTCTGAAAAAAAAATACATGTGAACATAATATTTTTAAAATAATTATATACCTAGAGGTTTCTTACGATTATTACAAGATGCAGTAATCTGAAGACAAATAACACTGCTGTTAATGCTTTTAAGTAAAATTTGATAGTGCATCAATTTTAATGGGCTATTTGTTAAGAGTTCTTCACTGATTTTCAGCAATATTTATCTTGTGTTGGGAACCACTTTCAAAAAGGGATTGAACTTCCTTTGACCTGTGTTAAATTCCTGGCCAGAGCTAGGTTTGTGTTGTTAATTGGGTTTTGGAGTCAGAGACATTTGGGTTAACTATGCAATCTTGGGCAAGTCACTTGACCTAACTCAAGATATTTTTCTGTCTTCAAAATGGGCAGTCCAAAGAATTTCTATTCTGAAAATGGCCATCCTACCAAAAGTGGTCCACAGATTCAGTGTGACATCAATGAAAGTTTATATGCCATTCTTCACAAAAAAAGAAAAAAAACCCTTGAAATTCATAGGAAAGCACAAAAGACCCCACTTGGCCAAAGCAACCCTAAGTAAAAAGAATACTGCTAGAAGAATCACTACACTTGATTTCAAATTATATTAGAGAACCATAGTCATATAATAGCATGATACCAGCATCAAGACAGATATGCCAAGCAATGGAATAAAGTAGAGGTTCCAGATATAATACACACTGAAGAAAAGACTAAATCTTCAGCAGAAGATGCTAGGAAAACTGGGAATCTACACATAGAAGAATATAACTACACTTTATCGTTCACTCTGCACAAAAATCAACTCCAAATGGACCAAGGACCTCGATATGAGAAACTATGAAACTGGTAGAGAAAAAGGTACCAGGAAGTGGGTTCTTTGCAATGGTATTTCTACCATGCACTGTTTAGGCCATGGAAACTGGTTTATAGGAGAAACGCTGAAGCATTGGGAACTGCAGGTGTGACAAGTCCTTGAATGTTACACTCAGAGATTACTGGCCGTTCCACTAGGAGTTTGGAAGACCAGACTGCAATAGAAAAGCAGACAAGAAAGAGCAGCCCGTGAGGTTTCATGGGAAGACGGATTCACCAGGAATGGGGAGAGGTACCACTCATGTTACAGTCCAGCAAAGAATTGGTCTAGAGTCTGCCTCTGTTACGAAAGTTTGAGGAAGGGTTAATTTATTTGGTGGGAGAAATACCAAGACAGTGTAACCGATAGGCTGGGAAATGGTTTTTGCTTGCTGGTGTTAGCGCCACATTTATAGGGAGGAAGAGAAGGAAAAAGTAGAGCAGATTTGAAAACTCTGTAATGTGGCAAGGGAAAGAATGTGAACATGTTTCAAGCTGTGAACAAAGCAAGTGCTATAGGAAAGAAAATGGCAGCTGCTAATGGGATTAGTACAATAAAGAGGAAACCATACACCCTGAACTGGTCAAATAAGAAATGTAACTCGAGGGCAAGATTCCATCCATTGAAGGCATCCATTGATGTAGAAATGAAGGACTTGTACTGAGAGCTCATATGGAGGGCTACTGAGAAACAGCAGCCTGAGGAGGTTCAGCCATGGAGGCTGCAGTAGTCATAGTCCAAGGGGGGTTGGATCCTTGCTAAGCTGGCGGCAGGACTTGGGATCATCTGTACGGTGCTTGTTTTTATAGGCATGCGAGATACAAGAGTAGTTGGTGATCAAAGCTTTCACCAGGTTTCCAGAAACAAACACAAAGAAACCAAACAATAAAAAACCCAAACAAACAGAGGAGGGGAAGCAGTGTGTAGCTGGGTTGGATTCCTTGAGGGAAAGTCCCGAGAGGCCTATGTGTGATATAAGTTGCAGTAAAAACCTAAGATTAATGGCAGAAAAATTTGCAGGCATCAAGTGGAGCTGCTCTCAGAATTCATAAGTACTTCAAGGGGCAGGGGCAGGGGGGCAGTGCTGGGAGGCCCTGCTGGTCAGAGGTTTCGGTCGACCATGGCCTGGCAGCTCTCCCTGAGCTCGGCAACATGGAGGACTCCCTCCCACGACAGAAGGTGCTCTGCTCTCTACCTGACCTTATTTGGAGACAGTTTCTAGGCCTGATGCCTGACTTATCTCTAATATAAACCCTTGACACTTATACAGTACCGGGCAGAAGATTTCCCCCCTCCCTATATGGTAATTAGGCATTGTGCTAGGAGCTTTATAATAGGAGTGTGCTGTTTAATGCAAATTAGGTGATTCCCCAGCTACCATTCCCAATCCTATACAGCCCCTATACTCTGGAATAAAGCTGAGCTGTCTCACTGAAGCAGTCTCCCGGAAGGCTATTTCTGTCATGTTCAAGGACCATCCAAGGCTCTTCTGCCCCTTTGTCCTTGCAGGCTGGTGGCCCTGAAGAAAAATGGGAGCCCACAGGGCAGAGCTGCCAAGCCCATTGGAGCTCAGAGGATGCTACAGTGTGCCTCAGCTACCACGAAGCTGCATGGTTTGGTGCTGGCCCTGCTGGGATTTGGTCCAGTGTTGTCTTCCTATGTCCCCATGCTTCCTCTTTGGGAATGGGAATGTGTAATGGCTTTAAATTAGAAGTATGTAGCTTGTGTTTAGATTTTTCAGGAGCTCATAATTATGAGTTTGCCTTGAATCTCTGGAGAGACCTTGGGGAAGGTCTCTCCAGACAAAGTGAGATGTGGGATCCTTAGGACGTGGGTAGGACCTAGCGGAAGGAAGCTAATTCACACTGGGTGTACCCTTGGAAGGGTATTGGTAGCTAGATCCCGTCCTTCCTCTTTTGCTTTTTGCTTATTGGTCACCATGAAGGAAGTCACTTCCTTCCTATGCACTGCCTGCCATGGTTTACTGCTTTCCCACAGACTTCAAAACAGCAGAGATCACTAACCACAAACTAAAACCTTTAAAACTGTGAGCCTGGCTGGATGATAGCGGTGGTGCACACCTTTAATCCCAGCACTCGGGAGGCAGAGGCAGGTGAATCTCTATAAGTTTGAGGCCAGCCTGGGCTACAAAGTGAGTTCCGGGACAGGCTCCAAAAGCTACGCAAAGAAACCCTGTCTCAAAAACCAAACCAACCAACCAAAACCAAAAAACCAAAACAAACAAAACCAAAACAACAACAACAACAACTATGAGCCCAAAACATTCTTCATCCTTGTAAGTTGGTTATCTCAAGTTCTCAATACAGTGACAGAAAGCTAATATTCTGACTATATGCCATTTCTTCACTGTGAGGGTAATTTTGGATTCCATCCAAATCAATATCGCTTTACCCACTCAGAGTTCCAGAGCATTTCTGAAGCTACTTTTCATGTGACTGTCCACAAAAGCTGAGTGACATATCCGCGCCAGAGATCAGTGTAAGGGCTCTTGTAGCGGTAACGCCAGCGCGACCACCACCCGTTCACCGTGTCCAAGCAAGGGGCTGTGGATTAAAAAATAGAGACAAGAAACAGAGAGTCTTCGCCACAGCAGAATGCCGAATGCCGTTTATTGAAGGAGGGAGGAAACCTTAAATACAGTCTTACAGCACAATGGAGGATCCTCAGAGGACAGAGGTTCGCTACTGATGTTCTACATTCTTGCGTCTAAGTTGTTTACACCAAATGCAGAATACACAAACAAAGAACCTCTGGTGATCATTCAGGAAGAAGGAAACCGGCAGGGAATCAGCATAGGGAGGACATCTGGTCAAGGTTGGCAAGCAGGCAACAGTTTACTCATAATGGGAGGGCCCTACAGGCTCTCTATTTTTTTTTTTCAGGAATAAAACTAATTTTTAGCACTTCTCCAAATGTGAAAGCTTTTGTAATTGTGATACAAGCCTAGGAATCTTCTTTTACAACATAGGCAATTGCCTTTGTTTTGGGTTGCCCTCCAGAACTTTATAGAGTAGAATCCTGTCTCTGAAGACACTGTATACCTAAATCACAGGACATGGAGAATTCAAGCTAGTACTGACCTTGAAGGCTCCTTTTCACTGGCTAGCTTTCACAGTACCAGAGGGGGCAGTGCATTTTATTGGGTGAGAAAAGTTATCAGCAGTCTTACATGACTGGGAACCTAACCAACTCGGTAACAACCAGCCTGACAGCATGCGCTGATCGGTGAAAGAATGGCCTGAATGTTTTTAAGCTGCTGTCTGATGGTATTTAAGGCCTGTCCCACAAGAGCGCCCATGCCTGGCACTGTTAACTAGGCCAAGAACCTGTGGCTCAATAGGTTCTAGGTTCTAGGTTCTAGGTTCTAGGTTCTAGGGGAGAACTAACTACTATTATTGAACTGACTGGACGTGGTATTAGACTGCACTCTAAATACTTAACTTTATGCCCATAGACTAGTGCAGCTCTCAACCTTTGTCAGAGAACCTTCTTTTTGCAGTAGATGGTGATGGATACAAAGATTCAAAACTGGTCAAAGTACTGCAGAGTGCTCCTCTGTCAACTGGACCATCTGTATTACACCCTTTCCCCCCAAGGCTCAGGGATCATCATGGAAGAGGAGCCACCATTATCACAGAGGTGATAAGAGAACTGTTGTGAAAGAGTGCTTCCCAGTCACACCAGGATGTTGCACACATGAGCTCATAGTGGCTATGAGTGCAAAGACAAGACCTGTACACAATCAAGCCAGCTGAGATCCCAGCATGGAATGGGAATGGACCACAAAGTCCCACCCCTAGATCCATTTACTTTGGATTCAGTCCCTGATAGGTTGGCCATGTTCTAGGAGATGGCCCCACATCCATGGACATACGGTCAAGCACTGAGTGGACTCAGTGGGTTAAAAAGAAAAAAGAGGAGTACATGAAGTTGGAGGGGGAAACCCGTGGAGAAATGGTGGGAGAAGAGGGAGGGGAGAGAGTGGGGAGAAGATGTGATCGAAACATATGTGTGACATGCTCAAACAATACGAAGAACGTTTTCTTTTCTTAGTCCTTGCATAGGCCTAGTAGACAATGCACACAACCAGTGTCTAATTATTATGATATTTTTCCAAGTAAAGAAACACCAGAATTAAATCTAGTAGTTCGAACAGTGAACCAATTATAATATGAGGTGTTGTGTAGTGTGAACAGGAAGCAAAGTGAGTTACTCTGATGATGAAACATTGAATGGCACACTGCTGGTATATAAAAGGCAAGAAAAGCAATGGGTGTAGTTCCCTCTACTTCATGAAAGTGCCACAGCCTTGGGAACTGTAGAATGGGTGTCTACCACTGTGCAGAAAGTGTTGGCTGTTTAACATGTGATCACTAATGTCAGATCCATTAACTGTGCAAGTGTTGGTTCCTTTTCCATTGCTGTGATAAATCACCACGACTAAGGCAATTTATAGAAGTAAGGGTATATTTGGGCTTGTGGTTCCAGAGGTTAAGAGTCCATCATCATTAAGATAGGGCAGAATGGCAGCAGGTAGGAATGGGTACTAGAGCAGCAAGCTGAGGGTTCATATCTTAAACCACAGGCATGAAGCGGAGAGGGCAAACACGAAACGGTGCAAGTGTTGAAACTCTTAAAGCTGCTTCCAGTGACAGACTTCCTCCAAGAAGACCCCATTTCCTAAGTCTCCCAACCAGTGCCATCAACTGGGGACCAAGCATTTAAACCCTGAGCCCAGAGAGAGCATCCTCATTCAGACAACCAGAGGAATGCAGCATATCTTGCATCAATTCTTTCCAACTGGTCTTATGTATTCTGTTAACTTAGTATCTTTTGCCACATGGACTTACTCTCTCAACAACTATTTCTGAAGGGTTCTACATGCTGGGCACTGCTTGAGATGCTGTGGAGGTAGTGGTGGATGAAACAGATGAAACTTGGCTTCATGGAGTGGGAGACAAACACAAGGCTACGACTTTGATTTTAGATACTGATGAGTTCTCTGGAGAAGGTACCATCAGGTACCAAAACAGAACTGTGTTGCCTATCTGTGTGTGTACATGTGTGCTGGTGTGTGTGAACCTAGAAGTGATTCTTTACCCTTGAGTTCAGCCCTTGGGCAGCCCTCAGGCAGTACCCAGGGTCCCCAAAAAAGCCATGGCCTTGCTGATAGACCTTTGAGAATGGTAGCTAAGTGTGTACACAGGGGCTTCACATTATCAGAACTGCATGTGCTGGCAAATACAAAGAGCAGAGAAGACGTGCTCCTTAAGCTGTTGATTACTTAGCACCTCTACTGACATTTGGATGATCTTGGATTGACAGTCACCATTGTGTATGTGACGTGTGTCACAAGCCTCTCAAACACTTTGAAGATCTAATCATTAATCAGCCAAACAGGGGTGCAATGCCCATGGCAGGAAGAGATCTAACAAGTGTGTTCCAAGCACGGGCGAAATAGTAAGTGTTCCAGGAAAGAGGAAAACGCACACTTTGTTTATCCCATTGTTTAGCTTTTAATTCTTTCTATAGAGATAAGCTGTGTTAAGTGTGACATCAAACTTTGTTTCCTGACCTCTTTGGATCATCTCCAAATTCCAAACAGCATACCAATATTAAAGGCAGGACCAACGATTTGAAAATATTCCCACCATGCAATGCATTGCGGAAGTCTGTGATGCTATTCCAGCTTCAGGAAATAGTTAATGCCTTGAACTATTCCAATTAGGCTGCCAGGCCACCAAGGAATGAAGTCAATCCAAGACCTTTGCATACAGCATGTGTGTGCACTCCCAGCTGAGGCTTAGTTAAGGGCTCGTTCTCTACAGAGCCAGGCAGAAGCAATACCCATCAATGTCACTTGTAAATATAACAAACAGTGTCTCAAAGGGGCAATTCCTCTGGCAAATTCTATGTGATTTCCTAAAAGAGTTTTGCATGGTGAGTTCCATGATGTGTGTGGTCCCAGCTGCTAGAGAGACTGAGGCAGAAGGAACATTTGAGCCAGAGAGATTGGAGCTAGTCTGAGCAACATACTGAGAGCCTGCCTCTTGAAAAGTTAAAAAAAAAAAAAGTAAATACATAAATAAAGCATCTCCCGGAAATTTGTAGCATTATGGATATTGCTATTTACACCACACTCATTTTCTGAAAACAAATTAGGATCACTCATGGTAAGTTCAAACAGTGATAAAGGCAAGGGTCTGTGCCGAACAAAGGAAAAGAGGAATCCATCTATGGAAAACCCAGGGACACAGGAGGTGCTTTATGGGAGCAGAACCTGAGCTCTGGATTCCCCAACAGCGGACACACTAGGAAGAGTGGCATCAGTTTATTCCATAGGACACATCTTTCGGGGTTTGTTTTTCTAGTTTCACTAATAAATTGTGTCAAGGGAGCTTAACTGATGCCCAGTATCACTGATTGCAATATTACGAAGGCCAGCAGAATTTCTCACACAGCTTTTCCTTGTATAAGTCTCCTAACCGCTGAGCCATCTCTCCAGCCCCCCCCCCCCCTTGTATAAATCTCAGTAAGAGTGTATGTTGTACCCAGTGGTTTGTTCTTTCTAGGCAATACAAGGAAACAGATCGCTCTTTGTTATTTAAGTTATTATTTAACTTGATAACTGGTTTTCTAACAGATGGACTTAACACAGTTTTGTAAGTTATTAACTGAAAGTTGTCGAACCCAATCATCTCACCTTAGAAGGGGACTTCAGGAACTGCAGGGACTTCAGATAAGAAGGAGAGGGGACACCATGCACACAGCGCATTTCCAGACTTGAGCTGGGCCAAGCCTCTGGGCAGGGCAGGTGGTCTCACCCACAGCCTGGCCCTGAGATCCAGAGACCCACTGATGCAGCCTCTTCTGATGTTCTAGATGAAAGAGTCCCTGTCTGGAGGAGTCAGAGATGAGACATTGTCAACAGCCACCACAAAGCCACATGCTTTGGGTTGGTGAGGAGCAGAGGAGTGGAGAGGGAGGAAGCTGCTTCCTCAGCACCGTGAAGTCACCGACTGTCAGCAGGTCCCGAAGGGCAGCCTTCCACGAGAAGATGTCTAGCAGGCCGACACCACCTTTTCAGTGCCCTTCTGCGTAAGAGGCAATGTGCTCAAATCCCTTTAATCATTAGAAGAAACATATTGTGGTCTTGGGACAGAGATATGGAGGACTAAGTCTTTCTAGTTAGTTCTGGTTGAGGGCTGTTACCCTCTTGTGATCCTAATGGGACTTGTGCTTATTCTGTTGGGCATCTTGGTGGCTATAAAAGTCTTAGTTGCTGGGGCTGGAGAGATGGCTCAGTGGTTAAGGACACTGGTTGCTCTTCCTGAGGATTCCAGTTCAAGTCCTAACACCCACTTGGCAATTACAACTACTTGTAACTCCACTTCCAAGGTATCCAATGGCCTCTGAAATCACCAGGCATATAATTGTTGCATAGACATACATGCAGGCCAAATACTGAAACACATACATTTCTTTTGAAAGTCCTAGTTGCTGTCATGAGCTCCCTGGGTCTGTGGGTCATTGTTTCATTTCAATATCATTATTGCCAGAATTTAGTCTAAAAAGAGACTAGGCATAACAAGAAATTTAAAAAAGCTAAGATGCAAGACAAGAAGAAATCTAGTCATATCTGGTAAAAATAAAAGTTTGTTTTGCCCCCAAACATCTCTCTCCACATTAGTTCACAGTTTGAGCTTTTAAAGTTTTAATTTTAATTTATCTATGATTTAGCCATAAACCCTTATAACTCAACTAATTACCTACCCATCCACTAATCATTTCCATTATTCTTCCTCATATTGTGCCCATTTTTTGAACTGGCCCAACACATTTCCACTAAGTCTCTTAACACAGAGAGTATGAGCCATAAAAGGTGGAATAGTCTTGAATATTTAATTTCCTAGCCAGAATCGGAACACGGGCATGGGAAATCCATAAAGTCATGTTGAAATAGGTTGTCAGAGACAACGAACATTTTCTACCACAGCCAAACAAAGACGATGGCAGTTCAGAGGGCACAGTGCATCCCTAGATGTATTTCAGCTAATATTTTGTTCATTTCTAGAAGGATACGGGTTGCTGATCATCCTCTTCAGATCAACCTTCTCTTTGCAGTCAGGATCTGCTTCTTCCTGACAATACACCAGCCTCGGATGCAGAATTCATGAAAGCTAAACACCTTGTTAGGGAAGGTCAGTAGAGAGCAATACCCCAATAATGGAGGCCTGGAAAGGATCTTTCTGCCCAGGAATAGGAGGCTGAGAGTGGCAGTCTGTCGGCCACCGGGACTCACTCTGAGTGTGCATATCCTCACTTTAGGGAGAGACAGGGACAGTTAGGATGGAGTGGGGTGGCACACCGGGGTGGGTGGGGCTGGGGCTGCACCAGCTTCATGGACCTGTTGAATTTGCCTAACCATTCGGCCGTGTTTGTTCTCACCTTGCTTGATTACAATAAGAATTAGATGAAGACCGTGAGGACTCTTTGGTACAGTGATTTCTTATGCAAAGGCGTCTTCGCATTTCCCTGATCCTGCATTTGTGCACTCCGTGTGCTCTGGCATTCCCAGTCATAGATTCTGCACCTTACTTGTCATCTTGTCTGAGTCCTACTGGCAGGCACCAGGGTTACGTGTGTTCTTAAGCTTATTGATCTTCCTCCTCCCCCACCAAACCCCTCCTGATTGAACCCAGGGCCTCATACATGCTAACCATTACCACTAAATTGCAAATATTTCTAATAACTTCTTAAATGTTTTCCTCAACTTTTAAAAATTATAGATAAAGGGCCAATTATTTTAACATAATAAACATCTCATCTTCAAGCATGCACAAATTCATTTATACACATCATCTCTAGAAAGTCTGCCCACAGTCCTCCATCGGGCACGAATCCTGCTTTCTGACAGGACCAGGGATGGACTCTAAGACACCAGAACCTGCTGTGAAAACTCATGGCCTCTTAGGTTACAGGGTACCGCGTGATCACATGCTACTCATCTTTTTCCCTTGCCACCTTAAGCAGGAGTCTAGGAAATTTTTATCAAATGCATATTTGAATGGATCTTTCAAAACTAATTATTTTTGGAAATTCGTATTTCCATGCTCTCCAGTATTTCAGATTTGGGAAAATGATTAACTCTAACTACTGAATGGTATACAGTCCTTGGTCTCAATGTGGTTTGGGGGCCAAGAGCATATGGTTTTCCAGCCAGGTTGCTACCCATCCGTGTTGACAGCAATGGCATAAAACTTCCCTCCCTAAGAAACAGAGGGCTGTGGAGAGGGGACCCTGGTGAGGCCATCGATCTAATGCCTCCAGACTAGCTCTCTATGCAACTAAAAGTTTCCACTGTTTTATGTTCTTGGAATCTGGGACATTTTTGCAATGTGCTTGGATTAACATAAAGTGGTATATTATAAGAAGGATCATGAGCTCAAACCCATACAGCCAGTCTTTTATTTAAAAAGGCTGGCATAGAGCCACACCTTCCAGACAGGTACAGAGTTCTGGGGTCAGGGAGCCAGTGCCAAACGGCCCCATCCTCTATATTGCGCCCTTTCATCTTTGAAGTTTCGATGCTGGAAGCTTGCAAACTTGCAGAGCTGCTACAGAGAGAAACTCAGATAGTCTCTCTTGGCTAATATGACTCATATTTGCTCACTCCTTGCTAATATGACTCATGCTAAAATGGGCCATTAATAATACTCCCCGCAAAGCATATTTAAAGGTGACTACATTTTAGATTACATATGCACACATGTACAGCAATCCCTAAGGGCTTTTAAAGATGGAGAGAGAAAATATTTTCACTTGAAAATGGCAGAGGAGGCTCTGTTCCAACATTTGAAAAGTAAATCATACTTAAAACTAGAGCCAGACTTGGAAAATTTCTATGAAGAATGATAGTTTCTTGGGGGTGTGTGTATCACACTAAGGAAAAAAAAAACACTGTAGAATTCCATATGGGATATCTTTGTGTTTCTTCCCCTAAGTTTTTAAGGCTTAAATGTTGAGGAAAGGCTCCTATTACATTTGAGATGCATTTGGACCACTTTCTGACTCTTATAGCTGAACCAGTGGTAAGTGTTCAGATTAAAAAGGACCATGCACATCACTGGCCATGCACATCAAAGGCATTAGGTATGATTGGCTGGATTAAGTGGGTCACAGTGGCAAAGGATACCTGGTTCAAGCATCTCACCACACCAGAGCGTTGGTCTGATCAGGTATGTGGAGATCGTGCTATGAAATCAGTGCTGTAAATGTGAAGATGAGCGATGCTTTGCTGTATGCTTAGGCAGATGAAAACACGGACTGCTGGCCAACCAAACACAACTTTGGTATCTACAATCTCAGTCTTGGCCATCATGGGTTGGTTTGTTCAAGGGTCCTAAGCCAGCATTTTCTAACTGGGGCTATTCTCATAGAAACCTGGTTTATAGGTCCAGGCTTATCCACTGTGGTTTGAATGTGAAATATCCCTCATGGATTCATGTGTTTGGACACTTGTTCCCAAGGTGGTGGCACCAAATCAAATGGATCCTGAAGGGGTGAGTGAGGCCTCTGTGGCAGAAGAATGTCACTGTAGGACCACTGAAGGTTGTATTGAGCCTTGGTTCCAGCCTTGCCCTCTGTATTACGGTCAGCCATGATATGCACAACACACACCACATGCTCTGCCGCCATGCCTGCCCCGCCACAATGAGCTGGGACCCCCTGAAACTGTGAGCCAGAACCAGTCTCTCTTCCCTCAAGTTGTTACCATGAAGTGGTTTGGTCATAGCTATGTGGAGGTGACCAATACAAGCTCCTACCACTCCAGGTCCTTCAGCCAGCAGGGAGCTGTTGGATCAGGACCTCACAGTAGTGCTAGGTGGTCCAAAAACAAAATGCCAAAAGCCAGTCCCTGCTTTTGTGTCCCAAAGTGTTGGGCTGCCTTATGGTGTCACCCTTCTCAAAGACCCTATGCTAGAAACTTTACAAGAGGTCTGGTTTTCTTCTCCCCCTCTGTTGCTACAAGTGGGTTCCTAAGATGATTTCCAGTCAAAGTGGACTTTGTGTGTGTTGTTCTACCAAGGTTTAGACACCAGGCTCTACATCAATGGTTCTCAACCTGGGGGTCACAAGCCTTTTTGGGTGTTGAACAACCCTTTCACAGGGGTCTTCTAAGACCATTAGAAAACACAGATATTTACATTATGATATTCACAATAGTAGAAAAATTACCGTTATGAAGTGGCAACAAAAATAAGTTCATGATTGGGGGGGGGTCACCACAACATGAGCAACTGTATTAAAGGGTCGCAGCATTAGGAAGGTTGGGAAGCACTGCTCTCTTTGAAAGTCTTGCATTCTCCTCAGTCCTGGACTTGGTATACTCCACAGGGTTTTGTGGTGCTGGCATGAATCCAGGGCCTCCTGCACACTGAACACATACTCCGGCTCTGAATGACACCCTACACTATACTTGGCTCTTTTTCTCACTCTCAACCGCCCCTTCTCTCTGCTCCTTTTTGTCCATTTGCTCACTTATGGCCTCCAGCAGCTTCTCCAGGCTGCACCCTGCTCAAATGCATCAGCCTTCTTGTCCATGAGGGATGAAAAGCCTTCTTTTTAAGGGAAATGACAATAAAGGAGGAGGCTTGTCTTAATCAGCCGCTCATTGTGCAGCAGGGATCCTCAGAAAGTCTCAAGTACAAACAGGCCAGGAGACAAAGGTCGGGGGTTGACTGTGGGAATCAAGCAAGGCAGAGGAGATGGGAACAGAAGGGGACGATGGGAAGCCAAAGGCTTCAGGAAAGGGTTCTGTGGAGAGGACACCTGACAACTGGTAGGTGTTTTCGGGTAGCCTTTCTTGTCAAGTGCCACAAAGACCTTCTGTCCACAGATGGCACAGATACTGCCAGACAGACTCCTGGTGGGCATCCCGCCGACACAGAGGAACGACCAAGGAAGGGAAACGGAACGGTGTTGAAGAGGACAGTGCCTGCCGTCGGGTGCACACAGGACAGCCACTGCACATACTGTACTAGACAGTCCTTGGGACCTGGGGTCTTCCTTGCTTCTGAATTGAGCTAGTATCTGAGATGCCTTTTCCTGTAGGGGCAACGCTCAGAGGTGCTGAGCATGCCCAGTAGTGCCAACCTACCCAGAGTGCATTGCGATTATAGCCATCCATCCAACCTCTGCATTTACTCTCCCTGAGTGGCGGTTGCCATCCATGGGGTGGCGATTCTGCCCCAGGGGCCGCTGTTGAGCTTATTATACAGTCCCTCCCCTCCATGATCTATTTCCTCCTGGAGATTCCCAGTCAGAGACTTGGATCAAATTCAAGCGTTTATTTCCTTTTCAAGACTTCCACATTATTATCTGCGCACTCAGCCGGATCAGCCCCTGAGAGCAACACATGGAGAATTTGAACTTGGGAAACCTTCATTTTCCAGAGCCGCCGATGAGCTTTTTTGGATCAACAGTGGTAACGCACCAGAACCCTCACAAAGCGAAGAAGTTCCTTCTGAACATAGCATTTATCTTATGATAGTTTTAGGTTAAAAGAAAATATTCAGAGACAGGACAGAGAGCGCCACACACGGCTTTGTCTGTTATTGTTAGGAGAGATCTATTTGAAGGATCCGGCTGACAAGTCTATGAAGCTAAGCAGGGCAGCCTGGCTAAGACTGGGGCTAGTGTGGACACCCCGCCCCCTCTTCCCGACCCCGGAGGCAGGCTTCCTTCTCTGGATGCTTGAAGGTCAACCCTCACTGCAGAGGGGAGGCGCTTTTCACTTAGTTCCCCCACCCCTCCGAAAAAGGCCTTCACATCAGCCCACTTTTTCTTTCCTTCTCCCCGTCTGTGTTCTAAGCGTGTTCGTCCTGTCGCTCTGGCCTTCTCCGCTCTTTCTCTAAAGCCTCCCACCCCCATATTGTGGCTTGTTCATCACCTGGATGACCTCCATGCTCACTCAAAATGGCACAGCTCTTTTTTTTTCCTTCTCCCCCCCCCCATTTCCCCCCCCCCCTTCTTCTCTGGACAGCTGCCAAGATTTACAGCTTGCCTGCCTTGGGGGTTTTCTTTTAGACTCTACTCCTCCTCCTCCTCCTCCCCCCCCCCCTTCTTCTCTGGACAGCTGCCAAGATTTACAGCTTGCCTGCCTTGGGGGTTTTCTTTTAGACTCTAATAAAATTGTCTTCAAGCTTAAAAAAAAAAAAAAAGACCTTCAGAGCTACATTTAGACTAGTGTTTCAACAAGCGGCTGGGCTTCACAGCCTGCAGCAAATTCAGCCATTGCAAGCTTCGTGAGTGTGTGTGTCTATCATCAGTGAGGCGGCGATAGGCAAGAATCTGCCTACTCTCGCGCATTTGTTGAGGTTATTCATGTTTTTATATCAGTGCGAACTCTGGGCTGTTTATTTTACACTCCAGGTCATAACCTAACGCTGTGTCTGCGACCCGCTGGGTACATCGGAGGCTCTCTTCCCTTTGACCTCCCTGTCACTGTGGGTTTCGTTTGTTTTCAGTGTCTTCTTAACTTTGGGTGCTTAGGATGCTCCAGGCTCATACTGACTATTCCTCACCCAGATCTATAATCAGCTACTTCTCTAAGGAGACCCGAGCCCTTTTATTGTAGGATGATGTGAGAAACCAGGATCTGGGCACCGGAGTGCCGTTGCTTCCAGGATCTATTAGCCAAGAGAGCAAGTTAGTATCAGCACATACTAACTTGTGTGTGTGTATATATACATGCCTGTAAATATTCTTGTATGTATTTTTCTGCATCTTTACTAGACAATACAGGAATTTGTACTGATAGCTCTGATTCTAGCCCTGTGCTAATATGGAGGATTCTGGCCATTTCTCCTGGCTTGTCTGTAATCTCTCGTTCTGGCAAGGAGAAATTCAGATTCCACTATCAGCTGTCCATTTATTTAATGGATCCATTCTAGAATGTGCCCATAAAAAGATCAGATTCATTAATCCATAGCCCTGGGGGCGATGACCATATATTAGTGAGAATATACTGCTATATAGTCTCTCTTTGCTTCTAGACCTATATTCTCCACTCAGTTTAAAGTCAGCATAAGACCATCATTCCACCCAACACACCACACACACACACACACACACACACACACACACACACACACACACACACACACCATCTTCAGTATGGCAATTTCACACATTTGCAAAACAGTTAGATTCCTTCTGTCAGACTAATTTTTTTTTATCCTGGGATTCTCTGACTTCATAAATAGTTTTTAAAATTTTGCATGCATGAGGACACATCTCTTCTGCTATGTGGTTCTGTGGATTTTTGGAAATGCAGCGTCATGTGTCCATCAGTCTGGTGTTAAACAACAATTCCACTACTATACAAGTCTCCCCAGGCTCCACCCTGCCAGGCCTCTCAGTCTCTGACCCCCTGGCAAGCACCGATCTGCTCAGCATCTCTGTAGCGGTGCCTTTTCCAAAATGTCCAACGAGTGGAATCAGATCATGTGGAGCCTTTTTGGACTGGCTCCTCTCACTCAGAAATATGCAGTTAAGGCCCATCCATTTGTGGATGGCTTAAAAGCTTACTCCTTTTTCTTAGGAGGTTTTAAAACAAAGCAGATGCTTTGGCCCCACTCCCAGTGATTCTGACTTAATTGATCTGGTGTGGGGCTCAGATACTGGCACGGGAATAGAGGTCTGCTCTTCCCTCACCTCCACCTCAGTCCCAAATACATGAACAAGGGTGAGCCTTTGTGTACACAAAAGCACCCGTATGTATACACCAACTTACTGGTGACTATAAAAAAATGTTATTTTTTTAAAAGTAGATATTGAAGCTGAAAAGAAGATGATAGAAGACAATAATGTATAGGACTGTGGGGTGGGATCTGGTGAGATGTCTAGAGAGTTGATGCTTCATGACTGGGCTGTCCCACCATTGAAGCTCTTCTTCCTGGTCCATGGGAAGACAGAACACATACAATTTTTCTCTCCCTCTCATGTTCATCAACAAGCACAAGAGGTATCAGTGATCATCTTAGAGACAGGATGTCTGGGTTTTGTTGGAGCTGGGAGTGAGAATGTTGTTTTCTGTGTACACCTTGACCATTATGAGAAGTGTGGTTTCCTGCACTTGTCCCTAAGGCAACACACGGGAGAGGAACCACACGGTGTGGTATTTCAAAATTTCACCTCGGAAGCTGGGTTGCAGGCTCTGGAAAGCGGGTACAATCGAGCCTGGGGCAGATGGAGACAAAAGGTGCTGAGGAAGTCAAGTGCATGTCCCTTCAAGTCCTGCTCCTTAAAGGAGAAGAAGGGCCAGAACCTCACACTCTGTCACTTACATATAGTCCCCACTTCAGACGGGCTGTGCACAAGACACAGGAAGAGCAGGACGGAAACTCACAGGAACACGGAACCCTCGGTTTCAGAGTGTTCAGAGATGCACATGTGCCAGACACAGGTGGATGTTCCCAATACCTGAATCTGGAACTCACCTAGCCAGGAGCTATGCCCATTCTGAATATTAATTTTAAGAACTTAAAAAAATCAACACAGCTATTTGAGATTAAAAAAAAATCCAGTCACAAATGCACAGTCCAAACATATTTTTTTTTCATGTTTCCACTTCTTTACATGTTGCATGATGGTGACTAATCTTTATGGCCAGCTTACCCTGAGTTACTGCTGATTCTGAAATATTTTAGGTAGCATCAAACGTGATTATTTTCTTACATGGCTAAGAAGTCAGCTCAGGCCTTCACACACGTTCGTCAAGTGCTCTACTCCTGAGCTCTGTCCTAGCCCCTTACATGTTATTTTTATCCTATTAGTTGGTGCTTCTGTCAGAAGTAAGTGGGTTTTGGTATGGCTCATCTTTGATTAATTCCATAAATGCTGGCAACTGGAATATGCTAGGCATGGTAACTTGAATAAGTAGCATATTTTATTTTAGAAAATAACGTATTTCCCAATACTTCCATACTAAGAGTGTATTTTCCCTACATTTAAGAATGTATTGTTATGCCGGGTGGTGGTGGCGCACGCCTTTAATCCCAGCACTCGGGAGGCAGAGCCAGGCGGATCTCTGTGAGTTCGAGGCCAGCCTGGGCTACCAAGTGAGTTCCAGGAAAGGCACAAAGCTACACAGAGAAACCCTGTCTCGAAAAACCAAAAAAAAAAAAAAAAAGAATGTATTGTGTGTGTGGTGGTGGAGTGGATGGGCACACGCCCTGGGGCTCATGTGTGAAGGTCAGAAGACAATCTGCAGGAGTCAGTTCTCTCCTTTGAGCATGTGGGTTCCAGATATGGAACGCACGTCATTAGCCTTAGCAGCAAGTGCCTTCATCCACTGAGCCGTCTTGCTGGCCCCAGGAATGTATTTTTCTAATTAACTAACAATGAATAGTTTTTGATAGAATGAGACTCCGGGGAATAATGAGCCTGGAGAGCCATGGCAACACCAAAAGAAATGATGCAGATACAGAAGAAGATGATGCTTCTTCCTCCATCTTAAATGGTTTCAAACAAAGAAAACGACACTTGCCCCATAGTAGATGCCACGTAGTCTGAACAGATCTCAGCGAAGTCTCACTCTATTATTCCATAGTAAAGGCCATGGAACAAGGTTCCAATCCCCAACTCCAGGGCATCTCTAGATTTGATTCGGTGGGGGAAAATGTGGAAGCAAGAAGGAACGAGGGCTGGAGCTTGGGGAATACCATTGCCATATTATTTAACAGAGCTTTGCAGCTTATACATTTGTTCAATAACTTTTTTGTTTTATATTTTTAAAACTAAAGACTGTAAAGTTCTCTTTCTCAAATTGTATCACTCAGTGCCAGTGGACAAAGGAATCCTTGATGAGTCGCCCTTGTCCTCGGGTGATATGCCCCAAAGCCACCATGGATGCATGAACGCTTGGATAGTACCGAGCCCTCTGTGTGCTGTGTTTTTTCCCACATGTATCTATTGTGAAGTTTAATTTATAAATTAAGCACTGTAAGAATTGAAAAAAAAAAACATTACCAATGAAACAACATGGTGTAGTAAACACGGTCTGTGCTTTGAGAATGAAGTTTATGAAAGTTTGGGTTACTTGAAAACACGTGTTGTGATTCAGTGGCAGCTGATCTAATGGCTGAGTAGGCTGCTGAGTGACTAGTATGGGGTAGCACATGCATGGGCGGACAAACGCTGGGCAAAGGGTGGTTCACGTTTCAGGTGAGATGGAGCAGCGTGATGAAGGATGGCCCAGGCTGCTGAGCCGAGCACGGCGTGGAAGTCAATGCTACTATTCGTTCACAGAACTGTCCACGTCATGTACCGCATCTTTGTAGATGATGAGTAACGGAGGCCTCAGAAAGTGAAACTATGGATGAAGAGGGACTGCTAGAGTCATGAAACGCTTCTTTGTAATGTGGTGCTTAGACAAGCCTGTTCTAACCAGTTTCAAGGTTTGGCTGGACATCCAAAGGCCTGGACAGCTTAGGAAAACCATCTCCAGAGGACACTGTATCCCATTTACATAAGAATCCCAGGATGGGGTCACAGGTCTTGGGATGAGAGGCTGTGTAGCAATAATTTTTGAAGGTCCCTCGACCCCAAGGGATGCTAAGGGCCCCCAACACTAGCAGCCACTAGGGAAATAGTTCCTGACCTAAACACAGACTAGGACCACCTGGGGGAGATTTCTGATGTCCTGATGCAGGGGGCCTTCCTCCATTGCTCCTGAGTCCGTGTATGCTGGAGTTGGGGAAGAAGGTTGGCTGGAACGACTATCAGGCACATCGAAGGCTGAAGATGCTCTGCCATAGACTTTGGGCTCTGTGGAATGTTTGCAAATACTCTGAATTGCCTGAAGAAGTGTCTGGAATAGATATCACTCCTTCTTCGAACGCAAAAGCATGGAGACTGGAGGGACAGTAGTCAAGAGGGAAGCTCAGGTCTTCAGGCCCTTAATTCCCCTGCTGTGGTGACCACAGGGCAACAGACGCTTGTTTCTGCGAGTTGAGTTACATTTCAAATGCACCAGGATTCTCTGGGACAGTCCCCTCCCCTGTTGGAAAGGAAAGACCTTAAGCAAACAAACCATACAATTAGCTCTAGTCTTGATTCATGAATCTTAACTCTTGCGTATTATTTGGTGTGTTTTATCTGTAAAACACTCTCCAATGTCAGCAGTGGCCTGCTAGCCTTCACTGATCTGGGGAAGGGAGTGAGGTGGAGATAATTTTGTTTGTTTGTTTGTTTATTTATTTATTTATTTATTTATTTATTTATTTATTTATTTATTTATGATTTTTAGAGACAGGGTTTCTCTGTGTAGCTTTGCACCTTTCCTGGAGCTCACTTGGTAGCCCAGGCTGGCCTCAAACTCACAGAGATCCGCCTGCCTCTGCCTCCTGAGTGCTGGGATTAAAGGCGTGTGCCACCAATGCCCGGCCTTATTTATTTATTTATTTGAAATAGTAGTTCATTCTGCTGCCCAAGCTGACCTAGAGCTCACTTTTTCCTTTTGTCTGGCTTCAAATCTGTTGCTGAGAATTTCATACATGAGTACTGTTTTGTTTTTATGTATAATTTCCACTCCACACTCCTTTCCTCTGTTGACTCCTCCTCTCTCTCCCACTCCCTTTCAAATTCATGATCTCTTCTACTATAATTATTATTGTTTTACACACACACACACACACACACACACACACACACACACACACACACGTCCATTTAGTGTCACTCATACATATTTATGGTTGACCATTTGGGACTGGATAACCTATCAAGGGCCGGTCCCTGGAGAGGACTGATTCCCCCAGTAGCCGCTGACTGCCTGGAGTTCCTCATCTGGGAGTGGAGCCTCATGAGACTTCCTCCATCCACACTGGCCTGCCAACCGGTGTCATCATGTAGGTTATGTTTGGGGGACACGGTTGAGATTTCAGGGGTGCACTCCCGATCATGTACAGAAGAAGACACTATCCCACAGGAGACCTCTGCTTCTTGCAATCTTTCTGCTCTCTCTTCTAAGACGTTCCTGAGCTTCGAGATAGGTGTTGCATTGAAGATACGTGAGTCGGGTTGGGCATGCTACAGGCGGGTGTTTTCTGCATTTTGACCAGTTATGGATTTCTGTAACAGTCTTCATCTGCTGCTACTGCTGCTGCTGCAAAAACAAAACAAAACAAAACAAAACAAAACAAAACAAAACAAAACAAAACAAAACTTCTTCGATGAGGGCTGAGAGATACACTTATCAGGCAAGACTAGTGAACAAACTGTGTGACCAGAGCTAGGCCCAGCTTAGAACTCTCAATCCTCCTGCCCCAGGTTCCCAAGTGCTGGGATTACAGGTACTCATCATCATGCCCAGCTTTTCTGATCAACTTTATGGTCATTAACTTAAGGAGGACATAGTAGAGACTTTTCATGTTTAGAAAAAACAAGTGTGTGTGTGTGTGTGTGTGTGTGTGTGTGTGTGTGTGTGTGTGTGTGTGATATGAACTGGGAATTCCGAAGTAGATGGTTATTCACTCTTTCAGGATTCACCCATGTATTTATAAGAATTAGGACAATGGAGGACAAAAACTCTTATCTTCCTTTTACATAAAGAGCAGCATGTATGTATCATCTAATTGATTAAAAGTACAGTAACTAACTCATTGCTTTATATAGAAGAATCTTAGTAATATGTTCACTACCATTAGCAGTGAAAAACTAGTACCCTCTGAATCTGAAGAGCTAAGTTCCTGGTATGCCTTCTTGTAGGAAAGTTCATGGATAAAGGTCTGAAAATCCTAAGCAGTAATAGTTTTGGAACAACTATAGTCCCAAATGTTTCATGAAAACCCTTTCAAATATTTCTACACTTACAAAAATGAAGCATTATAGACGTGTTGTGCTAAAAGAAAAAAAAAAGAAGAAGAAGAAGCCGTCTGTGTCCTTCTACGTCTGAGCTAGCAGTATGGGGTTGGCTCCGTTACTTCCTATTCAGCTCTGCTAGCAACATTAGGAGCTCTCTCTGCAAGTTCCATGAAATGCTTATGAAACTGGATCACTGCACGGCCAAAGGAAGTGCCTTTGGCAACACAGGGCTGATTGTTCACCCACTCACCTTCTTTGTTTTATGACTCAAGAGTTGCCAGTCTATGCTTTTTAATTTTCGTTATGGTCCCAGAGACTTGGAGTGACTTCACTGTGAGGGATATTCTGGGGAATTTTTATTTGAGTGGCTTTCTGTAGCTGTGTGATTCTTCTTAAATCTCCATTCCACAGCACAGGCACGGTGCATGGCCTTATTAATTCCTGAGCTACCTTCTTATTGGAGAAGCAGTTCTGACCATAGAATGTGATTGCCTACCCCAGCTTATTTCCTCACAAGACTTTACTTTTCTGGTATCTTTTTGTTTTTGTTCCCATCTCTAAATACCCACCCCCCCTCCACTGGAGATGAGTGATGTTGGATGAAAATGCAGCCATACTTGTGAGTTACACAACGATGAAACTGCCTGACACAATTCTCAGAGCACATCATCCTCACTAAGCAATCCAAGCCTGCAATTTAAAAGTTTCTAGCAGCCACATTCAAAAGTAAACAGGAAAAGGTGACATTTATCCCACCAATATATTTAAAATACCCCCCTTTCAACATGGGATCAATACAAATCCTTGTTCTCATCTTACTGCCTTTGAAATCCATTGTGCATTTTACATGTGTGGTGCATCTTATTTCATATTTTAAATGCTCAGTAGTCACATAAGCTAGCGGATTTGGCAATGGCCAGCTCAGTTCTAAGGATTTTAAGAAACAAGATACTCAAAGGAGCTCTAGACACTAAAATTTCACGGCAATGGACCACACACTTTAATTAGTTACTCTATACCACTAGAAGCCCACTTTCAATGGTGGTCTCACTTTGCAGGTGAACTATATATTATCTGTAATGAGTCTTTTTCTGTTCTGCCAGTCAGCTCCCAAATAATGACATGGAGACTTATTATTAATTATGAATGCTCGGCCTTAGCTTAGGTTTGTATGTACTGTCATGTACCACCCATTCTGCTTCTTCCATGTCTCCTGGCATCTCTCTCTCTTTCTCTCACCTAGATTCTTCCTCCTACTTCCTCTCTCTCCCCAAAGTCCCACCTATACCTCCTGCCTAGCTATTGGTTGCTCATTTTTTTATTACACGAATCACAACAATATACCTTCACATAGTGTACAAAAGTATTCCACAACATTTCTCCCTTTTTGTCTAAATAAAAAGGAAATGTTTTAACTCGAATACAGTAAAATTATATATAGTAAGAGCAATTATCAAGTAAGAATTACATTCACAATGTGTTGTCCATTTGTATTTGACAAATTCAGAAAAATTACTCTATTATCTGTCTTATCTTGATGGGTCCAAAGTTTTATACCTAATTTACTTTCTATCATAACTAAGAAAAAAAACTGTAACCATAACTATCTATTCTTCAAGCCCATCAGAAGACCCAGGATATAATATTATTCAACTAAACAGAAAGTACAGAGCAAACAACTTCCAAAGCTATAGAAATGACAGAGACATATAGCTGCCTGGACAGTCAACCAGGGTTTCTCTATAATGTTGGGGCATCCATCTTTGGCCTATAGGCCTAAATTATCTGACAGACTTTTTTGAGGAAGCAGGAAATTTTTGAAGGGCTGCTATACCTTGTCTTGGCCAAGTTCAGCAGTCACCTTCTTTTTGTCCTGTTGTCCAGTTTGTACAGCATACTGTCAGTGGTCAAGGCAAAGGCAGTTTCTTGCCCAAATGGCTAGTTTTGCCACATTGGAAGCAAATTCCATATGGAGATTCTTCCATGTCCATCACCCTTTTTTGAAGTAAATTGGTGCTGTCAGGAGCAGACCTTTCTCACTGTCACGAAAAGTCTTATGTTATTAAACCATTTTAAATGTTATATTCTGTAGGTCTTTGAAGTGTCTGAAGATCATGTATCTATTTAAAATGTATCTTTGTTTGACCTTGAAAACATACCTAACATGACTATAAGTTTGATTGTTATAGATGATTACCTACTAACCTGTCTTTCTTTATTATCCTAAATAGCTTTCAAAAATTAAAACTTTACACTGCATTTTTAAATTAGCTGTATAGGTACACTACCTTAAACAAGAATGGAAATATATACAATACAACAAAAATAACCTTAAATTTGTAAATTTTGTATCAATATACAAAAATCCATACCAAGGTGTAATATTTGAGACGAGTGGCTGTTCAAAAGTAGATTCAACAATCCACCCTTTTATTTCATCATTTCTATACTATATCCCCTTTTCCCTTCAGAAAGAGATCCTTGAATCTAATTTTCTTTGTTTACCTTTTTTCCTGACCATGACCAATAACAACTTGTAACCAACCCCCCTAAATGATGACAAACATCCTAGCCCACCAAATGACAAAAATACCCACCAACCCCACATCTTGGCAATGTGGATGTTGTGTTCTCTTGACTGCTTCCTGTTGTCTAGGGGTGATGAAATCTTTAGGTTACCCTGAGAAAATTGAGATAATGGTCAAGTCCTGGGAGAGCTGGCTTTATTATTATTATTATTATTTTTGTTTAGTCTCTGTGTGATGGGAAAATGTAGAGAGAGTTTGAAGTCTTTTCTGGATAGTCTGTGAGGCTAGACCATCTCAGCTAGCAGCTTTGAAGTTGTTCTGGAATTTTGAGGAAACTGCAGACAGAGACATTCTGAGAAGCTATATCACCTGGGCTACTTTATTGGTGTCTGGGCCTTCTTTTCTAAAAACACAGAAACTTTTAAAGGTAATATATATCTGCATTAACACAAGTATGGAATGTGCAGTATCTACAAGTTAGTTGAAGATGATTTTTTGTTTTATGTTTGAGCAGGTAAAAGGTATCTGTCAACTTTCTAAGTCCGTTTGGACTGCATAACCAAACCTCTATCCATGCCATAGGAAAGGATGACATGTATTAATAAGTCATGAGGACTCTGTAGCCAACAAGTTTTATCATGTTTCATTCAATCTCAGCTGTTCCCATAGTAGAGAGGTCAGCATATACATCACCTGTCCTGTAGTCTTTCTTGGTTTCTTTTTCCATGTCCATAGTCAAGATTTTAAGGTCTCTTCTGATCAATTCTGATCTTCATTAATTTTGAAGAAAACCAGAACTTTTTGTTTTCTGTGGAAACAAAGACATAATCTCTCCCCCAACATAACATATTTTTTACTTCCATTCTGAAGTGAAGACATTTTTAAAATATATAACTTGGTTTAAATTAGCAGCTTTTATAATCCAGTGTCTCTCAGCAATTACTATTGTTTGTACATTAGCATTAAAAAAACTCAAAGTGAACAAAGCACCATACAGGATTCAGGTGCTCTGTGTGTTTCCCATCCTTATGTGGCTTATTCTTTTTATATTGCTTTACTTTTTTTTTTTTAAGAAAGACTTTATTACTTTTAACTATTTTTTCTATGACTCTGTATACCCATTTTCTTTATTTAGCATATAAGTACATTTTTAAACACACTGTAACCTGTTCAGAGGTTTTGTCAGTCTGGACTTGTTTTTTTTTTTTTTTTCCATGTCTGCAGCCTCCTCTGACCACATGAGCCAAATCTTAAACTGTTAGGCTACTGCTGCATGGTTCTTCTTAGAATATGGCATGCTGGTGGCTGGCTCTGCCCCTCTCGGTTCTGTGAGTGCTTAGTCTCATGTTGGTGGGTACCACCCTAGCCTCATTTACCTGCCCCAGCTCTGGGAATTTGTGTCTGCCTGAAACAGGAGTTTGTACTCAGTGCTGCTTGCTCAAGTTCTCAGCTGTACAGCAGGACCTCTTAAAGGAGCCATACCTCTGCCTCTGTACGTCAAGGCCTACCCAAGAGACTGCTTTCTCAGGCCTTATGTGGATATTCAAAACCCACATTGGATGCTATATGTAATGAGTCTTTTCCTACCAGTCAGCTCCCAAATAATAACATGGAGACTTATTATTAATTATGAATGCTTGGCCTTAGCTTAGGTTTGTTCCTAACTAGTTCTTATAGTTTAAATTAACCCATTTCTGTTAATCTATGTTCTGTCACATATTGCCTGTCCTGCTTCTTCTGTGTCTCCTGGTGTCTCTCTTGCATGCCTATACCTCCTCCCACTTCCTCTCTCTGCCTGGAAGTCCCACCAATATCTCCTGCCTAGCTATTGGCTGTTAAGCTTTTTATTAAACCCATCACAACAATATACCTTCACATGGTGTATAAATATCCCACAACAATTATCATAAAAGCTCTTAATTTTTAAAAAGTTTTATTTTGTAAGATGCTCCTTTCTTGCAGTTCTCTTGGCTTCTCCAATGATAAAACTCTATGTAGATACCTACTATGAAAAACATGTATATGGAACATGCCAGGGCCATGTGTTTCCAGGTGGGAGAAGGACATGGCCAGGTGAACGATCCAAGCAGACACTTAGAGATATTAGTGTCTTAAGTGAAGATACTTACTTGAATATTAGATTGAATCCACACATTGTCAACACAATGGCCAAATAACCCACTACACCAAACGTATAGCTGATTTATAGATTAGAAGAAAGCTTTTGTAGACCAATCTGTGGGAAACACAGAAAGTCGAGGTAACACAGAGTAGCAAATAAAGCACTCTATCTTTCAAAGAGCCTTTAAACCAAATCTTTCTATATAGATTTTTGGGTTGAGCATCTTAAAATGTTTTTAGTCTTTTAAGATGGGGTCTCAGTGGGCAGCCAGGCTTGTTTTAAACTTGAGATCCTCCTGCCTCCGCTTCTGGAGTGTGAGATTACTCTGCTTGCCCCTCAGCTTTCTTTACCTCGCTCCAAACCCCAGTTTTCCTCTGTGATTTCAAATCATCTGCTTATTAACCCTTCCACCTTCCCAATTTTGCTTTCTGTTGGAAGCAATGTATCCACATACATAGTTAAAATCTCTGATATTAATAAATTAAGCTTTCTTTATTATATTAAAAGATACTTTCTTTCTCTTTTTGGAAATAAGTGTTGGGTGTGCATTGCCACGGCCATACTTTATGACTTTGTTTTCACTGAGTTCCAATTAGAAAGGACTTTTTGAATCCTTATTTGAATTTTGTTTGAATAGGGAATGTGGGCTAGCCTGAGAACTGAGTTGTTGTTTATATAATTTTTATGATGAACATCTTTCCACATTCAAGAAACAGACACTTGAGAGTCACGTGCACTGGCGCCTCCTCCCCAGGTGCATTCATGCCCATTAGGGTTAGGCAATGGTGGGGTCCGTGGAACAGACAATTGTACAGCTGCACAGATTGGTTTGCAAATGCTATGAGACTGTTGTGTCTCTATAAAAAGGCCAGAGAAGATGGCAGGATCCTTCTGCTGAGAGACACTTGAGTAATCAGTTCTTCCGATCTGCCTGTGCTGAGCAGTTCATATCACTGCAAGAGCAGCCAGTTCAGAGTGCAGGTTTATGTTATAAAGTGGGTATGCTGGGACATTAACAATGACTAAGGGGGTCCTCCTGGCCCAGCCCCAGCCTCAGATAGAACCACAGAGTAGGTTTCTTGGACTCCACACATATTCAAGGCCTCTCTTAGGCATGAGCCTGCATAGAAGATGCTCTCAGCTAATAGCCTATTTAACTGCAAGGCTACTTTGTGCCAAGTGATTTACAGATTTAAGGAAGCCACAGCATGGTGTTAGAGGCAGAGCTTTGTAGTGTGTCATTTTTGCATTGACCCTGGCTTGACACTGTAGACCTTGGTCAACTTCCTTGGCTGTTCTTCCCATGACTGCCTCGTTTGTAAAGTGATGAGGATGGGGCTGACTCCTAACACTGACCTGGAGTCTATATGATATAATGCATTACTTTAAAAGACTGGACACATTAAGTCCCCGACATGCTGCATCAGCGTCTCAGGTGTATTAGATTATGTCTATGCTCATTTCCCTACTCACTGGGCTACGTACTTCCGGGAATAGTAGAACCCAGAGCTTCCTGGCCTCTTGAACTTACTCCAGGTAAGGAACTGTGCTACTGCCTCAGAGAAGCCTCCATATGAAAATATAATCCTACTGTCGTTCTTCTGAATGTAAATATCCCGTTAATAGTTTTGAATTGTGCCATGTTGGAAAACCACATCCGTCTCAGCATGTACATTTGTTTTCATCTTTAGTAAAGGGTAAAATTGTAGGTACATCAAATAATGGTTAAAAAAACTTTATAATTTATCATCAGTACATGTTGATTCACACACATATTTTATAAATCAGTGTATTGGGGAGATATATAAAAATTTATTGAAAACATTTAAGAAACTCTGCTTTAGAATACAGTGAAAACATTGGCTCATGAGCTGACTTGAGATATGTGGAGCCCTGTGCAGGCAGAAGCTGAAAGAGATTGCTGTGGACATGAGATGTTGATGGCATGATACCCTGGCCATCTGAGATATATGGGCCATGAAGAGTAGCAAAGCACATTTGGGTAATTCCTGTCGTGAAGGGTCTCTGCTGTGGTGAACTCATTTACTTAGGAGCCTGCATTGAACAATTATGCAGTGGGAAGTAAAATGTTCTCATTGGAAGTGAACTACTTGTACTGATTGTGTTCAAGGGATGAACTCAAGTACATTTGGGTTCTGAAACTCAAAACACTTTGACAAACCTTAAATAGCTTATAATATTTGGTAGTCAGGAGAAAGGGAGCCATGTGCCCACTTTTCACTGACTTTTAAAGGCTTTCTAAGTCTCTATCTGGCTAGTTTAACTTGTTTCCTGACTCTACTCCCAAGTTCTTCCCAATGGGGAATTAAGTTAACTATCTGCAAACCTGCATTCATTAACTGTTTTTTTTTTTCTTGAGATAGGTTTGTTGGGGAATGTTATTTTAAGATGTGTTACATTTGTTTATGCTGTGGAACATTTGTTTAATGATGCAAAGATGAGTTGCATTCTTTTATGTTGCATTTGTTTAACTCCATGAAGCTGTGTTACTTTGCCTGTCTAAAACTTCTGATTGGTCTAATAAAGAGCTGAATGGTTAATAGCAAGGCAGGAGAAAAGATAGGCAGGGCTGGCAGGCAGAGAGAATAAATGGAAGAGGGAAAAGAGAGAAAGAAAGAGGATTGAGGAGCAAGAAAAGGAGGAGGATGCCATGGGCCAGCTACCTAGCTACCAGCAAGCCATAGAGTAAGAAGTAAAGAAAGGTATACAGAACAGAGAAAGGTAAAAGCCCAGAGGCAAAAGATAGATGGGATAATTTAAGTTAACAAAAGCTGGTTAGAAATAAGCCAAGCTGAGGTTGGGCTTTTATAAGAAAAAATAAGCCTCCATGTGTGATTTCTTTGGGAGCCTGGGTGGTGGGTCCCCCAAAGAATAAAAAGAGCAAGAAGTAAAAAAGCCAACAATACAGGGTTTTATCATATAGTTCAGGCTCATTCGGAACTTACTATGCAGCCCAGGCTGGCCTAAACCCATAGTCCTCCTCAAGAGCAGTGAATTCAAATATATCATCATGTTTATTTAAATATCTCTCATTGTATACTTTTCCTTTTCCAAGCTAAAAGGAAAACTTACTATTTCATCTTTTCTAGTATTTAACAGGAGAAAACCAAACACACAAATGGAGAAATGATCATGAAAATGTTTCCTTCAGGCCTATGATTTTTTTTCTCCAGCAGAGTAAAACTTGGCCATTGTCTCATGACCGCTGCACACAACACACTTTCTCCTTATCTTGGTGCAGTGGTGAGGATTTGCACTCCACTCCCAGACAGAGGGAGCAAGAGCAAGCCTGTAGGCGTATAAGCTCTGGTGAAAGACCTGCTTCGACTTCATGGAATTGCGTAACTCTCAAGAGGATGACAGCAGCCTGCGATATTCCAACCCCAGTTGCTAGACACGCTTCTCTACATGCCTGATGTGTTAGATGTGGCCAGGTCCGACCATAAACTTTCAGTCTTTGCCCTGTTTTAATGTGTATGTGACATGAGAGAATAAAACAAAATGTGGAGCTAAAAATAAACATGCAAAGAGTGCGCTAGAGATTAAAAAAAAAAAGTTTCACTTCCTTTTTCCCCTTCCTCTGCCGGTTAAAGTCTGCAGTTATGAGCTGTACAAGAGGGTAGTCTGAGTCACCATCACACAGGGTATGTGCATTAAGAGTGTGATAGCCAGTCTCTGGATGGTTTTTCTGCAAGGGTAAAAATGGGTCAAAGGATGACCGGAAACCTGTGGACCCTTCAAGACAAAAGGAAATGAAATATACTTTTTACTCTTTACAAGAAAGAGATGTAGTCAGGCATGGTAGTAGAGGTCTGTAAAATATTTTCAAGATCACTTACCCACTTAAACATTTGGTTTTATCATCTACCATACTAGGAAAGATAAAATGTTGATTCCAGCTTTGGGAGAGGCTAAGGCAGAGAGATTATAAGTTCTAGGCATAGATCTAGCATATATTGTGAATTCTTGTCTCGAAATAAAACAAGAACAACAACAATAACAAACAAACAAAAACCAAGAGCAGCCACATGGAAACTTCAACCCAAATTAAAAATGAAATCGAAGAGACCGTGAGGAAGGAGTGAGTAGAACATGGAAGAGTCTGCCCTGAAAGCGGTTTCTGGGCAGCTCTGAAGAGGATGTCACTAGTAAGAAGGGAGAACATTCCCCACATAGACTGAAACCGCCACCAGCAGAGCTTCGTTGTGAAGTACAAAGGGACAACCCACATCTGCAGCAAGGTCACCAGCTATCAGAGAAACGAGGAGAAAGTCTCCTTCAAAGACGGGCCCCAATGGCACCCCCGTTTGCTGTCTGATGCTGGCAATCTCTGAATGAGACCTTGGGCCTGGGACCTCCACCACTCACTAAATGATTCGGACTCCTTCTGGTGGAAAGCACCCTTGCCATCATGTCTATTCCATAACATTGGCTCACCTACCAGCTGTGAGTTAATTCTACAGATAAGCCACGGAGAATTGGTACATTTGAGATGGGTCCAAGGGAGGTCACGGGGGAACGTTCCAGAATGCCCCAGCCCTGCTGTTCCTTTTGCCTGGCTACTTCAGTTACAAGCTGTGTAGGACTGTTGGACAGGCAAGCGTCAACATAGTTGTAAAACTGGGAATAGCGATGTCTCTGCAGCCTTCGTATCCTGCAGGGTGACGTCGAGTTAAAACACAACCCAGAGAGGAAGGCGCTCTGAAAGCCACACTGTGTTACACGGAGCCCAGGGTCTGCGGTTACCAGCACATGCCCATGTAAAAGGGCACAGTGCTGTCAAAGGAGGAAGCGGTGGTCAGTGACGCAGAGCGGCTTCCAGGACGTCGGCCTGGGTCACAGTGTGTTCCATAGCTCAACTCTTGCCTCTGTTTAGATCCTCTCCCGTTTTTCCTTCTCTCTCTTCAGCAGCTACTGGCGCTCTTTCTGGGAAGCATGCTGTCTGGACCTCACTCTTTTAGAACGCTCTGTGTCTGCATCACTGACCAGAGGCCAAGTGGCCTCCAGAGGGTAAACTTAATCTGGCTGGGCTCAACCCCACATGACGGGGATGAGGACAGACTAAACTGACCGGCTGTAGACCGCTGGTTGCTAGGGTTATTCTGGCAACAGCTGTATGCTCAGAGCAGGCCTATCTATCAGCTAGCCACTTCTCTTGTAAAAAGCAGACCTGGAAAGTAAAGCTTTCGGTCTTTGGCATTTTACAGCATCCGCACCTCTCAGCTGCTCAGAAATGTCACAAAGGATGGCCAATGAGGTTTCATCTCCAGGTGGGAACAATTACATTTTAGGATAATCTTGTAGAGCCCTGTTGAAGATTTGGGTCCTGGATCCTATCTTAACACTAAAGAAGCCCCTGCCTGTTCATTTCACTTCCAGCAAGGTGGGAAGGTTGGTAGCATATACTGCATATTTATTATCCCAAGCACAAGAGAAGAGCTCAGGGGAAAATGGCTGTCTGTGTCTGTGGCTCCCTTAAATAAGGTCTCAGTTGTGATGGTCTGAGGTCGAAAAACAAAACCAAATTACAGGACAAGACATCCAGGTGTGAGAAAAAAGCAAATAATGAGGAACTCCGTGGCTTTTGATTGTCCTTTTTCACTCCCTCCAGCTTCAGAAACAAAATTGCTCCAAATCATTTTTCAGAAAATGCTAAGGTTGTAATCTTTCACGTGCACTTGAAAAAGAAAGTGCCTGCAGGGTAAAAAAAAATATCTGAACAGTTTTGGTGAAAATATTCAGCTATCTATGCTTCTCAGAGACTACTTCAGGAAAGAGAAAATGCTCTTTATTCTTCCCAAATTAGATCATTGCATTTTCCACTCTATTTGTGGATATGGTCAATGTGTGTGTGTGTGCATGTGTATGTGTGTGTGTGTGCATGTGTATGTGTGTGAGTGTGCATGTGTGTGCATATGTGTGTATGTGTGCACATATAGGAGTATGTGTGTGTGTGTGCACAAGTGCATGTGCGTGCCTGTGTCTGTGTGTGTGCGCGTGCGCTCGCGCGTGTGTGCGTGCGTGTGCCTGTGTGTGTGTGTGTGTGTGTGTGTGTGTGTGTGTGTGTGTATGGAGGAGGAAACAGGCCTTACTTTAGGAAATAGAACAGTTTTCATAAGGGCCTGAGATCACTTGCTAGATAACCAAGATTAAAGATACACAGATATTAGTACTCATAATTGGTGACATGCAGAATTTTGATATTAACAATAAAAATGATCAGCCCAAAAACCTCATCTATATTTTTGATCATTTTTATATATCATGAATTACACATTTTTCTGACTTTTAAGACCTATTACTTCTGATATTAAAGAAGATGGGTGTCTTTCACAATTCTATCATCTGGATTTTTTTTCCTCTTCATCCTTATAAGAATATATTCATTATTTACATTTCCCCTATAAAAATAAAATTTATGAACTCTGGTGGAACTCCACTGCTCTGGTGCAATCCTTACCAGCCAGCAAGCAGGTGAGAGACCTGCTTCTAGGCTGCACCACCACCACCACCACCCAGTGAACTCTGTCCCCTCAAGACCCACTCTGCCACCCAAGCCCACACATTTGAACATCCTCTCCGTGTCCAGCCCTCCCCAGAAACCCCAGCAGACTATATAGGCACAGGCACAACACACTCTAGTTGGAAGGACAGACTACATAGACACAGGCATGACCCACACCAGTTGGAAGAACAGATGAGTAAAGAACACTGTAAGAATCCATTCAACAACAGAAAGGGCAATATGGCGCCACCAGAGCCCAGTGATCTTACAACAGCAAGACCTGAACATTCCAATGCAGCTGAAACACAAGAAAATGATCTTAAAAATAACTTTATGAAGATGATAGAGGCCCTTAAAAAGGAAATGAAAAATTCCCTCAAAGAAATTGAGGAAAAGGCAAACAAAAAATTGGAAGAAATCAATAAATCCCTTAAAGAAAGCCAAGAAAAAAATAATCAAACAGGTGAAGGAAATGGTTCAAGACTTGAAAATTGAAATAGAAATAATAAAACACAAACTGAGGGAATTCTGGAAATGGAAAATTTTGGGGAAGCAAACAGGAACTACAGATGCAAGCATCACTGATAGAATACAAGAGATAGAAGAGAGAATTTCAGGCATTAAAGATTCGATAGAAGAAAGAGATTCATCAGTCAAAGAAAATATTAAACCTAATAAATTCCTAACACAAAACATCCAGGAAATCTGGAACACCATAAAAAGATCAAATCTAAGAATAATAGAGATAGAAGAAGAAGAAATCCAACTCAAAGACAGAAAACATATTCAACAAAATCATAGAAGAAAACTTTCCCAACCTAAAGAAGGACATGCCTATGAAGGTACAAGAAGCTTACAGAATGCCAAATAGGCTGGACCAAAAAGAAAAGAAAATTCCCCTCGACATATAATAATCAAAACACTAAACATACAGAGTAAAGAAAGACTATTAAGAGCTGCAAAGGAAAAAGGCCAAGTAACATATAAAGGCAGACCTATCAGAGTTACACCTGACTTCTCAATGGAGATAGACATTCTCAGTGGTCTTGGATAGACATTTTGCAGAAACTAAGGGACCATGGATGCTAGCCCAGACTACTATACACAGCAACATTTTCAATCACCATAGATGGAGAAAACAAATATTTCATGATTTAAACAATACCTATCCACAAATCCAACCCTACAGAAAGTACTAGAAGGAAAACTCCAACCCAAGGAAGTTAGTTACATCCACAAAAACACAGGTAATAGATAATCTCACAACAAATCCCAAAGAAGGGAAACACACATACTACTACCACCACCACCATCCAAAGTAAAAACAAAACAAAACAAACAAACAAAACAATCCAGGATATAACAATCACTGGTCATTAACATCTCTTAATATCAATGAACTTAATTCACCAATAAAAAGACACAGGCTAACAGAATAGATATGAATACAGGATCCATCCTTCTAGTATGTGCAAGAAACTCACCTCAACTTCAAAGACAGACATTACTTCAGAGTAAAGAGTTAGCAAAAGATTTTCCAATCAAATGGACCTAAGAAGAAAGCCAGTGTAGCTATTCTAATATCTAACAAAATAGACTTCAAATTAAAATTAATCAAAAGAGATGGAGAAGGACATTTCATATACATTGAAGGAAAAATCAATCAAGATGAAGTTTCAATTCTGAACATTTATGCCTCAAATACTAGGGCAAACACATTTGTGAAAGACACATTACTAAAGCTTAAATCACACACCAAACCCCATACATTAATAGGGGGAGACTTCAGCACCCCACTCCACTGTCCACTCCACTGGACAGGTCTGCCAGACAGAAACTTAACAGAGAAACAAGGGAACTAGCAGATGTTATTATTCAAAAGGACTTAATAGATATCTATAGAACATTTCACCGAAACACAAAAGAATATACCTTCTTCTCAGCACCTCTTGGAACCTTCTTTAAAACTGACTATATACTTGGTCATAAAGCAAATCTCAACAGATACAAAAAAATTGTAATAACCCTCTGTATCTTATCGGGCCACCATGGCTTAAAGCTAGAGTTCAACAACAACACAAAATGAAGAAAGCCTCCAAACCCATGGAAACTGAGCAATGCTCAACTGAATCACCAATGGGTCAAGGAAGATATAAAGAAAGAAATTAAAGACTTCCTAGAATTCGATGAAAATGAATGCACAACATACCCAAACTTATGGGACACAAGGGAAGAAGTGCTAAGAGGAAAGTTCATAGCACTAAGTGACTACATAAAGAAGTTGGAGAAATCTCACACTAGCATCTTAACAGCACACCTGAAAGCTCTAGAACAAAAGATGCAAACTCACTTGGGAAGAGTAGATGACAGAAAATAATAAAACTCAGGGCTGAAATCAATAAAATAGAAACAGAGAACAATACAGAGAATCAATGAAACAAAGAGTTGGTTCTTTGAGAAAATCAATAAGATAGACAAAGCCTTATCCAAACTAACCAAAAGGCAGAGAGAGAACATCCAAATTAACAAAATCAGAAATGAAAAGGGAGACATAACAACAGACACTGAGGAAATCCAGAGAATCATTAGGTCATACTTCAAAAACCTGCACTCCACAAAACTGGAAAATCTTAAAGAAATGGACAATTTTCTTGATAGGTACCTCATACCAAAATTAAATCAAGACCAAATAAACAATTTAAATATACCTATAATCCCTAAGGAAGTAGAAGCAGTCATTAAAAGTCTCCCAACCAAGAAAAGCTCAGGGCCAGATGGTTTCAGCACAGAATTCTATCAGAATTTCAAAGAAGAGCTAATACCAATACTCCTCAAATTGTTCCACAAATTAGAAACAGAAAGAACATTGCCAAATTCTTTTTATGAGGTCACAGTTACTCTGATACAGAAACCACACAGAGATGCAGCAAAGAAAGAGATTTAAAGATCAATCTCCCTCATAAACATTGGTGCAAAAATACTTAATAAAATACTGGCAAACCGAATCCAGGAACACACACACAAAAATCACCCACCAAAATCAAGATGCATGATCCCAGAGATGCAGGGATGGTTCAACATATGAAAATCTGTCAGTGTAATCCACCATATAAACAAACTGCAAGAAAAAAAGCACATGATAATCTCATTAGATGGTGAAAAAGCCTTTGACAAAATCCAACACACCTTCATATTAAAGGTTCTGGAGAGATCAGCAATATCAGAAACATCTCTAAACATAATAAAGGCAATTTACAGCAAGTTGACAGCCAACATCAAGGTAAATGGAGAGAAACTCAAAATGATTCCACTAAAATCAGGAACAAGACAAGGCTGTCCACTCTCTCCATATCTATTCAATACAGTACTTGAAGTTCTAGCTAGAGCAATAAGACAACAAAAGGAGATCAAGGGGATGCAAATTGGAAAGGAAGAAGCCAAACTTTTGCTGTCTGAAGATAATATGATACTATACATAAGTGACCCCAAAAATTCTACCAGGGAACCCCTCCAGTTGTAACTGGAGTTACAGATGGTCCCAAGCCACCGTGTGAGTGCTGGGAACCTAACCAGAGTCCTCTGTAAGGGCAATAAGTGGGTCCTATAGACTCGTGTACTCACATGCACATTCCCTCCCACTACACATAATTAGAAATAATAAATTAAAAAAAATAAGGAGCCACTTCTAGAAGACCCCAATTTTCTGTTTCCTTCATGCCTGGACTTAACCAGCAACAAATAGTAGCATTCCGTGTACAGACATAATTCTTAAAAACAGGTTTCAGAGATTAGAAATGAGAACATAGCAAAGGTATCATCGTAATGTGAAAGCATGAAATACTGGGTTTAAACTATCTTTAAATTGTGTCTCCATCACCATATTTTCTCAAGAGAAAGGCAAAAACTCACATTACGAATTGAATAATTGTATGAGGAGGTGTTTCAAAAATGAGGATCATATTTCATAGCAATTTAAAAGATTCTTTATCAATTTCCAGAGCAGTTAAAACTCTTCGTTTTTAATAGTTACTGCCACATATGAAATGTAGGAATGCCGTGTCTCATAAATAAACACATGCACTAAGGGAGATCAAGGCGTACACATGCAAAGAAGGATGCCTGGCATGTGGATCATATTAACAATGCCAGAGGGGTCACCATCTGGGCATGTGAGGAGAACGCACATCTGCATCATTGGTGGAGGGCAGCTCCAGCATCTGGATCGCATCACCCGTGTTCTCCCCACCCACACATCATAGCACGAGGGATTTCCTGACAAATCAGATGTTGCCCAAAGGTACCGTTTTTTGTTTTTTTCTTCTTCTTTCGTGCTGTCATGCACATGAATGAATGGCAAAAGAATCACAGATCAAATCAAATCAAAGTTCCATTTCATTTGTCTAATTGGACAAAACGATGAACGATCCAAGAGTATTAAGGGAAAGGAGTTGTGTGATGCTTGTTTTCCTTGCACTGAAGTCCCCAACTATTTACAACCCTTTGTATGTGCGGATGGCATACAGGGAGGGCAGGAGGATACTCAGATGGAAGGAGAGAAACATTATGGAAATATGATGACTCCAGGAAACACTGATGCTATCAGTTCTATGGCACTTACAGAAAGTGTGGACATAAATCTGAGCAAGAAGAATGTAGGGAATCCTGGCATATGATGGGCCTGAGCATGGCAGTTACCCACACTGCTGTCTCCCAATCAACCCAGATAGTTGATTTTGTCATTTAACTCTTCAAGAAGATCCTGCAATGGTATGTACATAACTATGTCTGTGTAGATCCTGCAATGGTGCACTCATAACTGTCTGTGTTTTTATCTTGCTTTATTTTCAAAAGATGTGAGCAGACACATGCACTATTAGCATAATAATCATTTTTAGTGTTTCATATATGTTACTAGGCAGGTAGTTTGATTAAACAGAACAAAACTTTGATCTGCCATAAATTATTTGCCTTTGCATTGAGGTAAGTTAATGACGTGTCTGAACCATGAATTCTGTATAGGTAGTTTTCAGGCTCTACTAATTTGTAGAGTCATTGAAGGATTCTGTTTCAGGGGAGACATCTTTCTACTTCCTGAACATATGAAAAATAGCTTCACATTAAAACAGAGAGAGATAATAGTATTGAAAGATTTTATGTTTAATTAAGAGCTGTTAAGAGCACTTGGAAATGATTTAACATTGAAGTTCTGCCAGTGCCTACTCTATATCAAGATTATCACCTTGAGAAGAAAAAAAGATTACTGTCTGGAAAAAAAAATTCTAACTTTCCAATGGTCGATCTATGCCATGCTGAAAATGGGGGATAGAACCCTCTACATATAGTAGTATGCCAAACAAAGTAGATTCCCACTCTGCATCTACACTTCTGATATCACATAGGCCAGCTAATTGTATTTTCAGACCCTATTTGACAAGTAGATAATTTTCTTTGCTTTATATATTTATAATAATTTGCTCTGAATTTTTCAGCTCCTGTAGACCACAGAGCATAATCTGTTAGAACAAATTAAACGACAATTTTATAACTATGTGTGTGTGTGTGTGTGTGTGTGTGTGTGTGTGTGTGTGTGTGTGTGGTGTGTGAGGCAGTAGCCTCAAACTTGCTATGTAGCAGGCTCTGGCCTTGAACTCCTGGACTCTTGACCTCTAGTTCTGCAGTATTGGGATTAAAGGCATGACTCATCACACCTGTTTCAGAAAGTGTACTGAGATTTGTGAATTCTCTGTCCACTTAACTACATTTCCTGCATTATGCTTGAAGAAAATGATGTGAATATAATGATACCATCAGTGTATAAACAATGTATATAAAGAATATCATATATATATGTATATATACCCACCTATTTCTTTCTCTTGCATAGAATCTGTAAACTCCTATACAAACAACAAGAAACTCAGCTCCCACTTGAACCTGCTTACCTAATTGCATACCTCTATAGAGTAGGGCCAGACCGCTAACCACTAACCATGTGCGAAGCTATTTTACCAGCTAAGAGTCCTGTGCTTATGCACAGTCTGCAATGCCTTCATCTTCAGACTCCACTGATTCCTGACATGACTTGCAGAGACGGCGTATGAAAAGCCTGCCAGTGGCATCTGTGCTGGAGGTACCCGAGAATGAGGATATTGATCCCTCCGGACCTGCCCCTCCAGAAATTCTACTAAGCCTGCCTTCTGTGAGCCAGGGAGAACCCTTGTGTCGTCCCGAGGGCGGACTTTATGGCGTACGCATGTCATGTTCTCACCCACCCAACTGTTACTGGTTCTTGTGATCCTCCTCCTCTATTTGCTCTTTATGATTTTCTTTCTCTCTCCAACAGTGGTTTCCATGAAATTAGAAATGATATTGAAGTTTTGACAATGGCAGGAGTTAAAGCTGATATGCAGGTCATGGGGAAAACCCAGAAGGCTGGTGGCAGAAAACATATTTATATGTCACTAGTCAGAAGACAACCTGACAAATTACAGAGTGATGAAGAAGG